GACGAGCCGCCCGGCGGTCCCGAGTACGACCCGGCCGCTCTGGCCGATCGCGTTGAGCGCGACGAGCCGCGTCTGACGGATGACCAGCGCGCCGTCTATGACGAGGTGCTGCGACGGCTGCACAATGACGAATCGGGTGTCATTTTCCTGCAGGCTCCGGGCGGCTGCGGCAAGACATACCTGGAGAACCTGCTGCTGGCCAAGGTGCGCAGCCGGGGACACGTGGCAGTTGCAGTGGCCACATCCGGCATCGCAGCCAGCCTGTTGGAGGGCGGCACGACTGCCCATCATCGGTTCAAGATTCCTCTGCAGCTGCATCGTGACAACGAGAACGTCTGCGGCATTGATCGCCGCTCTCCCGAGGCCGACTACCTTCGCCGCTGTCGCCTCATTGTATGGGACGAAGCGGCCATGACGAACCGGCGCGCCACTGAGGCGGTCGACCGGGCTCTCCAAGACGTCCGCGACAGCCAAGAGCTGTTTGGCGGCGTTCTGACGCTGCTCTCTGGCGACTGGAGACAGATTCTGCCAGTGGTGAAGCGCGGCGGGCGGGCAGAGGTTGTTGACGCCTGCCTCAAGTCATCGCCCATGTGGCCTCGGATCGACACCATGGAGCTCGCGACCAACATGCGGGCATTGAACGGCGACGACCAGGCCGGTGAGTTCGCCAACTTCCTGCTGCGCGTCGGCGACGGCCGGCTGCCCGTCGTGGCACAGCCGGACACGGTGCAGGTGCCCGAGTTGGTGGTCAGTCCGGCGCGCAGTCTCGCCGCCCTGGTCGAGCGCATTTTCCCTGACATGGCCGACCGACACCGTGATGAGGAGTGGCTGCATGAGCGCGCCATCCTCTCGCCGCTAAATGCGACCGTTGACCGGGCGAACGAGGCCGCGCTGGCCCTTCTGCCCGGCGAAACAGTCACCTACGCTAGCGTCGACACCATCAGTGACGACGACAACGAGGATCACGGGCCTCCGGTGCCCACCGAGGTGCTCAATGCCATCGACGTGTCGGGCATGCCGTCGCATCGACTTCAGGTCAAGGTCGGCGCCCCGGTCGTGTTGATGCGCAACCTCGATGCTCCGCGCGTCGTGAACGGCACGCTGTGCACGGTGCTGCGCGCCGCGCCCAACGTGCTCGAGCTGCGAATCGCCAGTGGAGTCGCGCGTGGCGAGACGCTGTTTTTGCCGCGCCTCCCTCTGGTAGTGAGCGCTGTCGATTCCGGCATCGGCCGACCATTCCGCCGCTGTCAGTTCCCCGTCAAGCTGTCATTCGCCATGACCATCAATCGCTGCCAAGGGCAGACTAAGCGACGCGTGGGCATCTATCTGCCATCCCCGGCCTTCACTCATGGCCAGTTCTACGTGGCTCTCTCGCGCGTAGGCAGCTTTGATTCAGTCGAGGTGCTTTCCACGCACAACCATCGCACGCGGAATGTCGTATACAGAGAGGTTCTTTGAGGTGCGCGCGCCAGGATCGGGCGTCATACGGGTGCGTCATGGGGCGTTATCTTAGTTCGGTTGTCGAGCGACGATCGGATGTACCCCGCGTTGTGCCGTCCTTCACCTAATTGCTATGACGTTGAGCCCGGAGTGGCCGGAGGAAGCCCTTGCTCCTTGAGTGGGAGGGCCACTCTGTCTGTCCGGGTGGTCAATGTCGACGGCCAACTGTGGGCTGCGGCCAATCGTATTGGGCGTTAGGAAGCGGGTGCGTCATCGGGCGTAATCTTCAACGTTATCGGAAGTATAGTCAGGCGGCGGCGTCCAAGAGCGGTCAGATACCCCTGTGGTCAGTCGTGTGGTACGGCTGGTGGTCCGTGTGCTGGGATTTTTTAGTCTGGAAATGTTAGCGCGTCGCTGTTGGTTGTGAGACCCCCTTTCAGACGTGTGAACGTCTGAAGTCCGTGTCGTGTGATCGATTGGACACTTCACCCCTTGATAGGGGGAGTCTAAACCACTGCGGGGCGAGTCTTACGTCTGAGCGTGTCAGTGAGTGAGTCCGTGTGCGAATGTGTGCGTGACTGTAACTGTGTCAACTGTCAGGTGTGACGGTTGTTAGGCGCGTCGCTGTCGGTTGTGAGACCCCCTTTCAGACGTGTGAACGTCTGAAGTCCGTGTCGTGTGATCGATCGGACACTTCACCCCTTGATAGGGGGAGTCTAAACCGCTGCGGGGCGAGTCTTACGTCTGAGCGTGTCAGTGAGTGAGTCCGTGTGCGAATGTGTGCGTGACTGTAACTGTGTCAACTGTCAGGTGTGACGGTTGTTAGGCGCGTCGCTGTCGGTTGTGAGACCCCCTTTCAGACGTGTGAACGTCTGAAGTCCGTGTCGTGTGATCGATCGGACACTTCACCCCTTGATAGGGGGAGTCTAAACCGCTGCGGGGCGAGTCTTACGTCTGGGAGTGCCAGTGAGTGAGTGCGTGGCTGCATCTGCATCCTGTGCTTAACCCTTTCGGTGCTGTAGGTATTTGGAGTGGCGAATGATGGCGCGTGAGTGTGTGTGTGTGTGTGTGTGTGTGTGTGTGTGTGTGTGTGTGTGTGTGTGTGTGTGTGTGTGTGTGTGTGTGTGTGTGTGTGTGTGTGTGTGTGTGCCGGTACGCGCTGACGTAACGGGCCCTTAACCGTTATACTAAAAGTTTGACATCGTTAACGTAAGTTCATCAGGAGGCTGACATTGACATTTCAGTGTGCTTAACTCATTTCATTGTGCTTAAATCATATTTCAAAGTTACTTTAAAAACGTGTTAAGGGCGGGGTGCGCGCTCGGAGCACTTCCACGACAGTGCACCCTGGTAACAGGCTGTGTTCAGTGTGCGGAGCCGACCTTGATGTTCCCTATAAAACCCACAATCTATCCATCACCTCGGCACGGCGACCCTGAACTATGCCTGGCTAAGACTCCGAGCCTTTTGACTTCCTTATGCCGTCCCTGACTACATTTCTCGCCACCATGCAGTTAACCAGCAGGGCCGCCAGTCATCGACACCGGCTGCCGCCAGCAACAGCAGCTGACGCCAACAAACCCCGGATCCGATAAGCTCTGCCAGGCAATCGGACCAGACCAGTCCAGCTAATCCCAGCAAGTCATTCTGACTGTGTCTAATCCGGTCAGTGTGTCGCCTAATGCCGCTTTGACACTTTGCTTACTTCTGTTTCCTAATCGGCCTTCCTATTGTGTATCGCCATAGCAGCCCGCTACGTTTACACTACTTCTACTTCACTGCTCTTTTTCTCCTACTGAGCATGCTGCCTACACAGGGCTGTTTTGTAGCGTAGCTTGCACGCCAGCATTACCACTGTCAACCTTCTGAATTCATGTCAGAATGATTCGCCATGTCAACTACTGTGACCTGTCCCCTGGCCCAGTTAGGTGAATCGCTGCTGCTAGATTTCACATAAACATTCACTACTCGAATTGGCTAATCCCGTCGTTTGGCTGCTGCAAATCTCCTGTGGCCCAATCATGCGCCGCGGAGCAAGCAAGTCACCTAGCTGTTTTTACTTCCTATACCTTCAACATAGCTTCTAGACTAGACGACTTATCAAACACCAATCGATCCCAAATTTTATGGCTACACGTGATTTTATGGCTACACGTGAGCGACAGCGAACACAAGTCACCTAGTTTTTTGATTCATTTGGGTACACTTTTGACTTCAAATGAATCGTTACGGTTGAAAAAAGGCCCATGACGGTGATATTTTTCTTTTAAAAGGTAGAAAAATGTGGTAGGTTTGCAAAAAGTGTTACCTCAAAGCTAAGAAATTGTCCCTTTGGCCTTGTGAATGGGAAAAAGACAGAGCCACTGCCCATCACGTAAAAGCTGTTTTGAGGAAATCACACTGTATGTTATTTTTGTATCATGAATCACATAGGTACTAACCAATCAGTATTTGTGTAAAATGGCAAAATGAAATTTTTAAACCCCTAATTATCATTGTTGTAGTGCTTTTATATTATTTATATGGTTTTTACCTGTTGCTTCAGTTTTTGTATTCTTGACATTTAAAAATTGTGAATTGTTATCAAATGTAGTGAAGGTAAAGTACAACAATGCTATAGGTATCAGTTGTGGTGCTGAGGATACCACTAAATGAGAATAATAGCAAGATAAATGCTGTATTCTTGCAAGTCATAGTTGCCTATCTGTTAACATTACCTATGAATCAAAATAATGATTAGCCAGCTGATGGGGAATCAATATTATGATTATCTGTTTAAAGTGAATCAATTCCTTGATTGCCTTTGACTACCTATAGAATTCAAATTGTTATGATAGGAGCAATATTATTTTGCTTAGGAGATAGTTCAAGCATTTCTGTTCAAGATCAGGCATGCTCCTTCTTGAAACACTCTCTTATTTTTAAGTGATTAGTAAGTTAGAAATGGTCTGCATTTATGCCCAAAAGTAATCAATCTTTTGATGCCTCCATATTTTGATTCCAAAGGTCTAGTTTGCCCAACTGGGGTCAGACTAGAGCCGACAGACATAGGGGAAGAGGAGACGGAGAGCCGAGGACCGGGAGAGGGGTCAGAGACACGGGCAGAGCCCGAGGTCAGAGAGCCGTGCTGGAACGGATGGAGGGGTCAGAGCTTCGCGTTGGGCCCGACGGTGACATACGCTGCACGCCACCTATTTAAAACTACCGAGATCAACTGGGCAGAATCAGGGGAAACTACAACATACGAGACTCAGCAATTCAACGAGAAGTATCCAGATTAAATGAGCAAGCCGGCACCGGATGTACCACGAGATGTATCGATGATAAGTGTTCTAGCGACCAGTAGTTTAGAATATGCTGAAAACACCCTCCACCTCCCTCCCTATCCCACCCCACACGAGTGGGTGCACTATGCCTGAGAATGACAGCTGACATTACTGGGGGCATCCAGGTCGCACCCAAAGAAACCACTGATTACTGGAACCCTCATCTTGAGACCGCTAGTGCCGCGCACCAGCCACCCGGTGCGGGCAGAGTATGCCCTCCCGCCCGTTACGTACGTCCAGACCCTGGAACATGCTGGCCACCATCTCCTCGTTGGCGTCATAGGACACGTTGGCGATGAACAGCTTGAACGGCCCCGTCATCGGCACGCGGTCGAGGTCGACGTTCAGACCGCAGCGCACGCTCGAGGGCGCCGTCGGCAGCACCACCGTCTTCTCCTCGGCCTCTGCACACACCACACACACGCTCCGCGTCAGAAATCACACCGCACACACGGTCAGGGAGCTCCGCGCCAGAAATGGTGGGCGATTATAGGGTAATGTCGGAATTGTTGTTGATCAATAGCAAGCACCTATAAGGAATGCATTTGAAGAAAAAAAAGAGATGCATTGTGGCTTTGTTAGCTTGACATTTAAGAAACGTTTGGTCCTTTCGGTTAAGGCAATATTGTGAGTTTTTTGACAAACGAAATATTTAAAATTTCGAAACATGATGCAGCTGTAAGACAGCTGTAAGCTGTAAGCACCGTGAAACGTTGATTTAACACGATTGTTGAGTGGTTCACTGATCTGAAGAGAGTCAGCCATCATGATTAAATTCATAAAAGGATTGACCAAAAATGGTGTAATGTGAAGCGTAAATTAAGCTTTAGTGAGGCAGTAGCGGCACATGGCGGCCATACCGAAGTCCATCTGGTCGGCCCAGCTGTTGCCGGTCTTGGTGATGGTGATGGCCTTGCCATCTGGTGTTCCCTTGGTGTTACTAAGAAAGACATTGAGATCGATGGGCACTCCCTTCTTCCTCCCCTTCTTCTTTCCAGACGGAGCTGCAACAAACAGAATGGCGAGTGAACTAGCACCTTTGTATATTACATAACTACAAAACACGGCACAGCCTTTGTCTCACTGACCGTTCCTTATTCGACAAAACTGAGAATAACTCTTAGACTATGTTATCGGTCACTCGTAAAGCAGAACGCAGAAGCGCGGGACTCCGCCCCCTATATTGGGCCCATACGCATATACAATTTCCACCCAGCATGGCAGCAATATGCAAAAGTTTGCACCTGCCCCCAACCTAAAAAAGACTTTTGTCTTTTTGCTGTCAAATTAGATGTAAAAACTTGTTAAATGATAGACTCAATCGAAATAGTACAGCATCGCGCGTCTCTTTGTTATGAGTTTCGATCGACTGAAGACACAGCCTCAGCCATCCGAGCCATCCGAATTCCGATGTCTCGGATTTGTCGAAAAAAAAGAATGTTTACCACTCGGTGAGACGAGGGCTGTATATGAAGAACTGTAAAGCATGATAATTAGCCATCGCCAATATTGGCGTTTTGCCAGCCGCTAGCGTACAGGAAGGGAAGGAGTCCGTTGGATCCCTCCCCCTCCTTCTTCAGCCGTTCGGCCCCTGATCGAGATAGAGCTTCGCGCAAAAAAAAAAAATGAGCGTGTTGCCCGTCACAAGAGGAAGCCGATGATATCAATATCAATATATCAATATCAGTGTATTTAAACCTTCCACAAGGTGGCTTTTACGGTTTAGCGTCAGTACAATGGGTATACAAAGATAAGCGGCGAGTAATAGACAAGTAAAAGCATACAATGTAAATTAAGAACGAATTAAAACTGACATATACATCAGAGCACACTCGATAAAATACATCAGGCACTTCTAATGATAGCTTTAAAAGCTGCCATCGACGTCGCGGTTCGCGCTGCTGGTGCGAGCCGGTTCCATGCCGCCGCCGCTCGGTATGAAAAGTGTTTCTGTGCCACCGTCAATCTGCGTCGCGGTAGCTGCAGGCTACACTCCACAGACCCTCGGGTTTCTCGACTAGACACGGTTTCGCGCGTGACAAACATATTTCGTACATCGGTTGGCACTCCCTCCGAATTTAACGCATTATATGTTTTTACTGCGTCGCGGTAGGCCACCATGGACTCTATCTTAGGCCATCCCAGTGACAGAAGTGCAGGCGTTACATGCTGACGTTTCTTGCAGCCTGTTACAATGCGAGCAGCGAAATTTAACACTTTTTGAATGCGATGAAGTAGGCTCCCGGTCGCCCCACCCCAGACGCACAGACAGTAGTTTAGATGAGGGAACACGTATGCCTGAATGATGGTTTTGAGAGCAGTCTGAGTGAAATAGTGGCGGAACCTATACAGAGAAACAAGAATCCTGTTGCACTTTTTGATAACACTACAGATGTGAGCGCTCCATGTAAGACCAGGGTCGATTGTGACACCGAGCAATTTTATGTGACTGGACTGTTTTACTAACGAATTACTGACTTCGATACAAATTCCTGAAGATTTGGTCAAGTTATGTTTTGTTCCAACAATCATAAAATCAGTTTTCTTTTCATTCATCTTAAGCAAATTGTTTCTGAACCACGACTGAAGCTCAGACATGGTCAGGGTGAGTCTTGTTTTCAGGTCGGTTAGACCCGGTCCATCAGGGCGCGCTCCATCAATGTGTACCGTATCATCGGCGTATGATATGAGTCGGCCATGGGTCACATGCGAATAGATGTCATTTGTAAAAAGTATAAACAAAATTGGACCCAAAATAGAACCCTGCGGCACACCGCACGTCACAGGTAGGGTAAGTTTCCCGCCTCGCACCACTTGCTTTCGGTTACTTAAATAGCTTTGAAACCAGTCCACATCAATGATACCATAGGTACCATGACAGTTTGGCGAGGAGAAGTCTATGATCAACGCAATCAAACGCTTTTGACAGATCGATCGTCGTCAGCGACGACACATGTCCCTCATCGATGGCATCAGTCACGCGTTCGATCGCGACGAGAACGGAAAATATCCCATATATCCCATTTATATATCCCATTTAACCCGGCAGGCGGTGGGTCTCCCGGCCACCTTCCGCGCGGTGGAGTGGGGGCATTTTTTGTACACTCAGAAAGGCCTGTAAAAGGGCTATCGAATGCGCTTTTCCGCGGCGCCGTAGCTCTATTGGTTTCCGAGTTAGCCGTTGGCAGTTTCCAAAATTGTTGAAATGGACTAACTCTGACCTTCGATGACCTCTGGTGACCTGACCTTTGACCTGATCCAAAAAATGACCGAAGTGTTTCGTCATTATTTTTATACGCTCTTTCGAATGCCGCTTACCGCGTGTCTCTATGTGGCCCACCTTCCGAGTTAGACAGGGGTGTTCACTGAAATGTTCAGACACCTACCCCCCCCCCTCCCCACCTGGCCCGGCGCGGAAGTCGCGGAGCACCGGCCCGGCGCGGGTCAATACGCAGTGCTGCTGCATTAACCCCTGCCCGTATTGGTATTTTGCCAGCCGCGAACGTATAGGGGAAAGGGGTCCGTTGGAACCCCTTGCCGTTTGGCCCCTGATGAAGCTAGAGCGACGCCGGAAAAAAAATATGAGCGTGCTGCCCGTGACGGGAGGAAGCCGATGATACCAAATTTTAAGTACTAGGGCATTGGTTGACCTTCCAGGTCAGTTCAATGACCCGAAATTCGGGAAATTCGGGAACTGTCAGAATTGATTGATTGTTGAGTAGGTGCTTCGGTCCGCGTGGACCATTTCGCACCATAATAAGTTACCTATTTAAGATGGGAACGTGAAGATAGTTATTTCTAGAGGCTGTCGAGGAGGTCTATTGTGGAGAGAAAAGAGAAAAGAAGCTTGAGCAAAGCGGAATGTTCGTCTCCTAAAATAACAGACATTGTCATTGGCACGCCTTGTGCCCGACAGTAGTCTTCCATTGGTTTCCTTTTTCTAGTGTGATTTAAACAGTGTAAGACAATGTGTTCGATGGTGAGTGTTGTCCTGCATCGTAAGCATACAGGTCTTGGTCGTCGAGAAAAAATGAATGCATGAGTGAGATATGTATGACCTATGCGCAACCTTGTCAAGACCTTTTCTTCTCTTCGGGACGGACGAGTTGATGATTCCCAGTGAGCTATAAGTGGTTTAATGCGATGAAGGTGTGTACCTGGACCATCCGTGTCCCAGATGCGCTGCCAAAGTTGATGACAATGACGTTTTATTGAAGACTGAATACTACTAATATCAATGGAAGTTTCAGTTACGATAGGGAGATCCAGAGATTGCTTAGCATATCTATCTGCTTCCTCATTTCCGTGGATACCACAGTGGCCTGGTACCCATAAGAAATGTAGTTGTACCCCTTTTTTCCTTAATGCTTCATGAAGGTTTAGAATGTTGATTTTGATGTGCTGGGTCAATTCTGGATTTTTCAAGTATTGAATGACAGATTTTGAATCGGTGCAAATGCATGCATGCTGAATACTGTTTTGCTCAATGAGTTTAAGTGCATGCAAAACCGCATGCATTTCCGCCGCAAATACTGATGACTCATCAGGTAGCCTCAGCTTTGCATGTGGGAGGCCTGGAGAATAAATGCCAAAGCCTACCTTATTGTTTTGTTTCGATCCATCCGTATACAGAAAATGGAAGCGAGTGTGTTCTGCTCGGAATTTCGTAAACGTTTGCTGTATTTCAGTCGGAGAGTATGAGTCCTTTTTCTCGGTGATCAAAAACGAAATAACTAATGGTTGCATCATCCATGGCGCCACTCCCAAGGGCGGTAGTGGAGTAACTTCAGGTAAGTTATATTCTATATCTTGCTGGTATTTTGTAACTCTGGAAGCGATTGTGAGGCCAGTTCTTCGTTCACATCTCCCAATGTAGCTAAAGTGTAACCGAGGAAGAATCGATATTGCTTGGTAAGCTGCGTGAGATGGGAACTGTTTTATTTTTGTATAATATCGTAAGTTCAAGTTTATTCGTCTAATATGCAGGGGAGGTATATTCGCCTCCACCTGTAGGGACAGTATTGGCGATGTCCTCATGGCACCCAAAGCTAGACGAATAAAGTTGTTTTGTATGACCTCTAGCTTCTGTAAGGAGCAACGGCTTCCTCCAGAATACATAACTGATCCATATTCTATTACTGGTAAAACTATGCTTCGGTATAAACGGAGTAAAGTTGAACGATCAGCACCAGCTGGAGTACTTGTGAGGCATCGGAAAAGGTTCAGTCTTCTTTTACATTTTGTTTGTACATGTTTGATGTGCCTATTCATTGTTAACTGGGAGTCCAAAACGACCCCCAGAAACTTGAAACTTGAAACCCGTGGAATATCGGAACCATGTAATTCTGGAAGCTTCAAGGGTGAAATCCTGGTGTTTCTGGAAAAAATCATAAGTGCCGATTTCGCTGCCGAAAATTCTAAACCGTATGTTTCTGACCACCTTTCTACTTTATGGAGAGCGAATTGCAAGCGTTGAATACCATAATCATAATCAGAGTCGGTACACCAAAGTGCGCTGTCATCCGCAAACAAAGAGAAGGAAATGCCGTCTGGGATGTTGCTGAACAAATCATTAATCATAATATTGAATAGAATTGGAGAGAGGCAGCTACCCTGAGGAAGGCCATTCTGTGTCTCGTGAACATTTGAAAAAATAGAGCGAATCTTCAAGCGGAAACGTCTGGTTCCAGACAGAAAGTTGTAGAGATAGAATGCCATATGTCCTCTGATGCCAAGTTGTGCTATTTTGTGTATTAATGCAGGCTTATGGACCATATCAAAAGCGTTTTTGATGTCCAAAAAAATTGCTAAAGTGTGATGTTTCTTTTTGTATCCTTTCCTTATGTCACTTTCAAGGCGAACTATGTGGTCAATCGCAGAATGATTGTTTCGGAAACCACATTGAAACTTGGAAAGCATATCCTGTTGTTGACTTATAAATGAAAGACGTGATGCAACCATCCTTTCAAGCAGTTTTCCTAAACAACTTGACATTGCGATAGGT